ATTCTTTCCTTCTGGTTCTTGTTCTGTCTCCGCGATGTGGACCCGGATGTTGGATTTGTGGAAAGCAGCTTCATTTGATATATGGTTAAAACCAGACAGCACCTATTGCTTTCAGCCATTTAAAATGACTTAAAATATCAAATGAGGCAGTTGAAATTTTAAGGAAGATCCTACTCGAGTTCAAATATTTGCCAATTACGCGCGGAAGGAGCGACAGTCCGTATGGTCACCTTTCTTGGCTATGTTGAATCGTTCCGACGGTTTCATCATTAACCAGGTACGCTGACTCTTCATTTTGCATTTCGAGTTTAGTTTTGTAACATTGTTTGGATTTAATATTTTTGGCCACGCAAATTCGTACTGTAATGAGACAGAGCGACGAGAGAAGTTTCTTGGGCGATCATTGGGTGATGTTTATGCTCTGTGTCAGTGGAGTGTCATTTGAGTAGTGATTCAAATACCCGACATTTCAGTTGCATGTCAGATTATTTTGTGTAATACTTTTGTCTTGGAGTTTAGCAGAAACAACGAATCTATTATAAAATCAAGTTTTTTCATGCTTGGTTAGGACATCTCAATTTAAAAAAATACGATGAGGTTTTATTTAACGGCCGACGCATTTCTTTATCGGTACCACTGCCATCATCAGTGCCAAGTAAAAGGGAAGTGTAGTAATCTTAGGATCATCGTAGGCCTTTATTAATTTACTACTGTATGAAAACCTTTTGAAAATTTCGCCACAAAATTCTGTCTTTTTATGCTTAGTCGTGTTGCTCCAACGAATTTGTTCAGCTCATGCTGTCAACGATCTGAAGGTCTTGCCGCGAGCTCTTTACTTGCTCTAGTCCAATCTATTATCTCTTTTGCCCAACAGTTGTCGGTTCTTCTAGCAACGTGTCCCGACCATTGCCACTCAACTGTTTCAGTGATGCAGCGACATTACAAACTGCTGTTTGTGTCATTACCCATTCGCCTATTCATTCATCTTTCTGTTTCTTTTTGTTATTCCCCATGCACCTTTCCATGTTTCGTTGAATTTCCTGGAATTTATTGGTGACTTTCAGGCTTAAAGTCCACCTTTCGCATCCATACGTTGATACTCGGAATAGCACTGATCGAAATCTTTCCGTTTCAAGCACAAAGACAGTTTCCTGGATATGAGCGTATTCGGCAGTTCGAAAGGGCCCAATGCTATCTTTTAGTAAATTTGATTCAGCTGATTTTCTGCAGCAAAGATGAGGATTCCCAGACCAATCATCCGTTAACAAGTCTTCACTCAACAGGTCTGGGGTTACGTACATGTTAAACATGACCTGAATCTTCTTTAGGTTCATTTGCATTCTGCTTTAATGCTAACGAATTCAGTTCTTGGATTTTTCTGGCGGCCTTGTGAGGATCAGAATATCACTGACAAAGCATGTATGTCTTAAATAGTGTCAGCGTACCTTCAAACCATGATTTTTTTTCAATCAAGTGCTTGTAAGACCCCTTCTGGGGTTGTTTTGAATAACAAGTGATATTGCATAATCTTTTTTCGCTTTTGAAATTTCTGTTCCATGAACCTTTACGATCGCAGCTGTATTCTGGTAAAACATGGAGGTGAGGTTATTCTTTCTCGGTTCCTTTGATCCTCATGGCAAACCGTTAACACACTGAATTGAAAGCCTTCTCGCCGTCGACTAACCCCTGGCAGAGAGGAAGCTGATATTCGGTCATTGCCTGAATCGCTCGTTGTACCACCTAATGATGAGCTACCATTCCAAATGC